TGTACATAAAAGTAACTTAAATATTGTTAGATGCACGAACATTTTTGTATTGCAATCCTTGATCTAAAGATATTTTAATATCATTCATCAACTATAGGAAATTTTTTGAAATTTAAGTGAAATTTTTTAAAATTCATCATAAATACGAGTAGCGAGGTGATTTCTAAGAACACAAGATTGTTTTAATGTTGAAATACAAGTGAAAACATTTAATCACTTTATTTCTGGTGAATACTCCTAAGGTAATCTAGATCTCTGCTTATATTTTGTAAGTTTTACTATTAATACGAGTACTTAAGTGCTTTAATCGTGTCTTACCATATTTTTGTTTGAAAAAAACTGAGACATAACAAAGTCTATTTTAATAATTAAACTGCACATTTATTTTCGGCAATATAAATTGTTAAGAATCGAAATCATTACAATAATGAATTTTTAACTAGTACTCGTCTACACTGTAAAAATTCATTTTTAAATTGAAATTGCAAAATTTAATTTTTAATAAAAAGTCAATTTTCTTATGCACATTACAAATTTAAAAAATATTATAATTTTAATATTTGCTTCAACTTCTATAATAGTCAAGTCAACATCTGCTTTGGTAGATTATAGATCTACATTTATATATGAAAAAAAAAACAAGTTAGTTTTAAAAATTATGTTCTGTAAGGAGCGCATTTAGTTTATTGCAAAAAGAAAATTATTGATTGAGTCTATTTAACCTTACTTTATATAAACATGATTTCACCGTATTTTTCAAAATTTCAAATTTCCTAGGCATGTGCAGAACAAATTTTAGATTCGTGCTATATAGAAAATCCTTAAAATACGTTGGGGCTAATAGAAAAATTTTGTTTGTTAAAAATAGGATCAAAAATTGATTGAAAAATTATTCTTGTTTCGGTTCGTCCCAGTAAAATCTTTCAACTTTTTCAAATACTATAAAGAAAATTTCTAATGTAGGTTAAGTATTCGGATAAGAGCAGAGAGAAACCTCTTTGACTATTTATTGCAATTTTCATAAAATTGTTAAAGAAAAATATTCACTCTAAAACAACTTATAGCAATTTAGCTTTATTATTTTATTCTCCAATTGGTCGAAAGACTACTAAATTAAATTAATATTAAAGGGATAATTGAAATTTGAAAATGAATATTAAATCGGATAAGAAAACAAGTTTATTAAGAGCACAACAAACCTCTTGCAAGTTTCCAATACAATCACAAATTCGCTAGGTTTTTGTATAATGTAAAATTTGTGATAATTGTGCCATTAAAGCCATAATCATTATTTCATATTTTACTGATTCTGTTTCAAAATGGGAGAAGATTTTCTTTATAACGGGAAAGCAAAAGAAGGGGGCTTCTTTTTGTAAAATAAACACTTCGTCGACAATGTTAGTAACGAAAATCATAATTAATATTAAAATTTTTCGGATTTTAAAGCTTTGTGATTTCTCTAACTAAAATAAATAATTTGGATGAAAATGCTTGTGTTCCGAACTTTTCAACTGGTATTTGGATCATGTGTGCTTATCCGATACATGAAAGAGAGTATGACTTCAAAAACTTAAAAAAAAAAAAAGGGGTTGTGAGCTGATTTTGCTTGTACTTAGAAATCGATCAAAACTCTATCACACCAGACAGACAAATTAGGGAAAATGAGTGAGAAATTTGTTTTTTAAAAACATCCTAATTGATTGAAATTAAGAAATTTGCTGATCTAGATGTAAAATTAATATTAAAATAGAAAGCATCAAGGATAAAGACATTTATTTTGAAGAACGTATATATATATTTTTTTTAAATTTATTTCAAGTTCGTTATTCTTGTGCTTATGCACAATTTTACAACATTAAACATTAAAATTACAACAAGAACACTGAAAAAAATTTCAAATTATATTTCAACTACATTTTACTTCTTTTTTAATACTAAGTAATGAAACAAAAGTCAATAAAAATTTAATTTTTTCCATTTTTCTGAAACGGAAATTAAAATATATTAAATAGAAATCTTTAGAACGTAAAATATCTATATGCAGCTACAATAATATGCACCGAAATTTAAGATGCAATGAGTTGTGTATTTTTGCTGAAATTATACTTTTAAATTTACTCAACAGATGTTTGTTGAATAAAGTAAAAAGTATAAAATACAAGTTTAATGCTCTAATGGAGGGTTTTTCCTTTTTTTTTTTGTAAGATCATAAAATTTATATACGAAATAGTATAGTAAGTTGCATATCGATGGTGAAGCGAACAGGTAAGCTAAGTAACAAATTTGAGATTCTGGAAGAGAGCGTTCTTATTCTTAACTTCTTAAATTATTCTTCTTGATTTCAAATAAGAGTTTTTAATAAAATTTGAGTTTTTGTACAAAAGACAGCATAAAATAGCTAAAAATTTCTAATATTAACTGATAGTACTTGGCATATTTGTGTTTCATCACTATAGCTATCAGTTTTTATAATAGAAACATTCTAAGACAGCACGTGCTATCTTGCACTTAATTTAATCGTACAACGCCGACCTCGGAAATTAATACACATACATCACTGAAACGTATGTAACAAAAAGAGTGCCATTCGAAATTCGCATTGGTGTAGCAAGAAGGCATTTTAAAAAATTTGCTACTTAGCATATTTGTGTACTGCACCATCGATATATAATTTTCATTTCTACAGAAATGATTCAATTAAATTTTTAAAAGGAAACATTTAAAATGTTGTTGTGATAAATTTTTGAAAAAGTATTAAAACAGATTAAACATTTCCATTAATATTGCAGGAGAATCGAAATGAATGGATATTTAATACTATCAATTCTGTTAAGTTATATAAAAATAAAAATAAAATGGTTTTAATCTCACTTTACTGTGGAAAATGGAAGAATAAAACACGTATGATGTGAACTTTATAAGAAATGATGGCATGGGTGTGTTGCTCAATAAAGGATTAACATATTCAGCACGTGATTCAGTATAAAGATTAATTTAAGAACGTTAATGAAAGATTTATTGTTCGTTCCGAAGTACCTTTGCTATTCCGGATTATTCTCAATCCAATTACATGTGGAGTGCAATTAAGCATTGCTAAATGTACATATATTAAAAAATTTATTTTATAATAAACTTAAATTAAATTTTTTTTTTAAAGTTATTAATTAACTTCATTTTTAACGTCTCTAACGGTTTAAAAATGAAGTTAACGGAGTTTTATATGTTGTTACGGGATGATAGACCTAGCTTTTATAGATTGTCATAATATGCAAAAGCAACAATATCTAGACATTTTAAAAACGAACGTTTTTCATTTAAAATATAAAACTTTATTGTTATAGGCTAGTGAATTATTGCTATAGGAAGTACGCGAAATTACGTTATCCATAAAATATGGACAGAGGCAAAGAGTTCTCACCCGACATGCGTAACTTGCAAGAACAATTGCAATCCTCAAACGGTCTAAAATATCTTACATGATGCCGGTTTTAATGGCCTTTCACCCAGGCAAAAACCTTTTGTATCGCATGTTAACAAAACAAAAAGAATTAAATTGCAGCATCATTTCTAGCGATAAAAGTAAATTTAACATATTAGGTAGTGATGGCAATTCGAAAGTGTGGCAAAAAGCCAAATACCGCTTTCAATAGAGAAAAAATTTTGCCAACAATGACACACGGAGGCGGTAATGTGATGGTATGGGGCTTTGTATGAGTGCTGCTGGGTTGGGTAATTTTGATTTTATTGACAGTATCATGGATAAAGGTGGTTACTTGAACATTTTAAAAAATAATTTAAAACGAAGTATTCAAAAATTGGGTCGTTCATGTTCCAACAAGATAATGACCCCAAAGAAAGTGCAAAAATTGTCAAACAATGGTTTTTAATGTGCTAAACCAATTATATTTGCCCCCACAATTACCTAACTTAAACCCAATTGAACATTTGTGGAATTTATTGGAACGCCGTATTAGAAAGCATAAAATTACGTCAGTAGCATCACTTAAAGAAATGCTTTTGAAAGAATGGGGAGAAATAACACCAGAACAGACTTCCAAATTGGCTGGCAGCATGAAAACTCGTTTGAGTTGCTGTAGTTGAAGTAAAAGGCAATTCAATTACGATAAATATTAATAACAATTTGTTTTATTAAAATTACTAGAGGATGATTTTCGATTAGTGCCCCTAAAAGTATGCAATTTTTATTTTAATTCGTTCTCTTTGTTCAAGTTATAAAATTCTTCACTTGTTTCATTTTTTAAGTATTTTAAAATAAATATTTTGTAAAATTTTCATTAAATAGCAAAAATAAAAAAAAAGAAAGCTTATAATACTATGTGTGCATCAACTTGTTACTGCCACTTGGATTTAAATTGTAGCAGTTTTCAAAAAAATTTGAATTTTGCAACAAAGTTATCATAGTTAATGTTTTAAGTTACTGCAACATTTTTATGTTTGGTTCTATTAGATAAAATAATACCATCAGTCTTTAATCGAATCATGATTATAGTTCTAAAAGATTTTTTTTAACGCAATTTTATAGTTACTTAAAGCTTGAGTCGTCATTATAATAAAAATTTACTTGAATAAAACTTAAATTTTAAAATTTATAGTTATTTAAATATACAAAATTTCAGTTATTAAATTTATTATACATACCGGATTTACTTAAAAAATAATTAACTTTTCTTTTTTCCATATAGAAGATTTTTTATAGGTTTTGTTACACTTTTTTCTTTTTTTGTTTAAAATAATTTTTGTCCTATTTTGTCCTATTTTATATATACATACGTAAAAAAAGATTGCATTCACTTGATTTTTATAATATTATAATTATAAATTTTATCCTTTCTATAATTTTTGGTTTTTTTTTTCTATAAAATTTTCTATTCCTCATTTGAAGATTCATATGACATTGTACATGTTCTACAACTAGAAAGGCTACATAAAAATTGATGATGATTTAATTCGTCATTTAAATATAATTCACAATTTTGTGGTCAAATTGCAGATACTTGTTCTAAATCAGCTGATGATCTTCCAGAATTTATAACAACATTTTTTGCAGCATAATCTGTTACAAATCTATCACTATTTCTTGGATGAATATTACCAAGTTCTTGTGTACAGCATAATGTATTTTTTGTTGTTAAAATTCTTTTAAATGCATCACGAAATTCTTTATTAAATATTGAATAAATAATTGGATTAAATGCTGAATTTGAATATCCCAACCATGATAAAATTTTAAAAGTTTGACCACCTATACATGTTTTACAAAATGCTGCAACAATATTAACACAAAAGAATGGTACCCAACATATAAGAAATACACCCATAATAACGCCTACTGTTATTGCTGCCTTATGATCGGACACATGATAGGGTGATGAATGTTGTAATTGTCGCATTTTTGTTTTCTTTTTACTTTTTGTTCGACGTATGCTTTTATAACGTGGTTTTACAGTTATATCAGCAGTCTTTGTAATTGCTCGAATTGATTTGACATGCTTTTGAGCATAACAATAGAGTCTGAAATTTAAATTTTGGATAAAAAGAAAAAATAAAAATTAAGTAAATAAATATATATATATTAAATGTTTAAAAAAAATGCTTATAAAAGAAGGACAGAAAAAAAAATACAATGTTACACAAATATTTTTTCTTTATCCTTCATTTTATTTCAACCCCCACTAAATCCAACAACGAAGTCCTTATAAAAAAAAACTCAAGTTTCATTTTTGTATTTTTAAATATTTTATTTTTAAATTTTTCTATTATCCTTCCAACAACAAAAATTCAGTGATTTTATTATTCCTTTATTTATTCGAATTTTATTTGGATTTCGTTGGGGATTTAAGCGACAATAAATAGCGTACGTATACGCACAGATAAATCTACATCCATATATTGTCTATATGTAAATGTATAAATTTTTAGTTGAATGAATATTCTTCAATAATAAGTAACAATACGCGACAATTTATTTTCACAAAAATCATTTATAGAGCAGAGTGTATGTAGAACCTGAATTTACACTATTCCCAACATACACTTAATTGATTCAACTGAATAAAATGAAAATTAATTTCGAATTCGATTTACATACTTTGTTTGATCTTTTTGTTTTCATTTTATAAATTTAGACATTTATTATCCTATTATAGTACAGAATAGGTAAATTTAATTTATAATTGAAAATATGAAAAGAGTGTTATGATGTTGTAAAATAAATAATTGTTTTTGTTGTATGCCAGAGTAAAAAATGAATTTTAATCGGTAAATCAAAATATCAGTGGGGAATTACATTTAGATGACAGAAAGGACAATTAGGCTTTTGATTTATAATTTAAATTCTGTATAACGTTTTTGTACTTAATATACAATTACAAACCCAGATAAGAGAAGGTTTCTTGCATTTATTGCAATATTCATAGAAACTGTTTAATGGTACAATTGCAGCATCTCCAAATTCAAGGAAATTATTAAAATGTGAAAGTACCATGAGAGTGGGAATGTACTTTAATCGTAGTTGTTACTGTGCTAAATAACTCGTAAACAATGGTACTTGTACATTTTGTGTAAAAATGAAGAAAATCTAAGTGTAAGATAAAAAAAAACTTAAGTCTCTCAGCAAGAGTGCGTATCTCTAATCTACAAAATATGAAAAATGCTTTCTAAATATTTAATTCGTCGAAGCGTCAATCCGCTGAGCCTTAAGAGTTACTCCGACTGCAACTCCGACTCATCAGAATAATATGCACATAGGATGTGTTCCAGTTTATATGTTTGTTTGCCATATACGCTAGTTTGTAATGTACAAGTAACGGTCTAAGAGTTTATCGATGTTTTTAAATTTAAAGAAAGATTGTTGTTAGAGGAATAAAATTACATCAAAATTAATTTCACTAATAGCCGGTTTTCTCTTATACAAGTATTTCCTGATTGGATTCAACTGTATAACTTTTTATTGTAAATTTCAACTCTTTAATACTAATAACTAATAACAAAATAGGCAAAGGTCAGTACATTATTTTTAAACCAAATGAAATATTTTGACTTTTAACCTTAAAATTAAGCAATTACATAATTGACACATTATTGATTTATATTAGAATATTACAAACGTTTAATTAACAAATGGCCTATAAGGTATCAAGTTGTTCTTGTAATGTAATTACGAGTATAAGAATTTTTTTGTTAAAAGTATTGAAACAATAAAAAAAAGCGCTAAAAATAAAATAATATAACATTTAATTTACCTACAATAAATCCCCACCATGACTATACAAGGAACATAAAAACTAATACAACTTGAAACTACAGCATATGTTGGCGTTAAATCTAGTGCACATGTTTGATGAGTTTTCCCTGTATAATCCTCAATAATAAGCGGTTGTTGGGGCCGATGAAGTCCTAATGATATTGGCACAAATGATACTAATGCTGCTAATAGCCAAATTGCTACTATTGTTCCAATTGCTATACGCCGAGTCACCCACCTTCCATATCTATAACATTAAAAATTTATTAAAAATATTATGTTATAAAAATATAAGAGCTACACATATGTGTACATTTTCTATCCTTAAAAAACAAAAGAGAAAATTATAATTCTTTCATTATTTTAATGAATTTTTTCATATTTACCTTAAAGGATCTTTTATGTGAATATATCGATCCATTGATATTGCACACAAATTTAAAATAGAGGCAGTTGAACACATCACATCAAATGCTACCCATGTATCACAAAACTGAGCACCGAATACCCAATAACCTGAAAGGAAAAAGGTAAAAGGTAAATAAATAGGAAGAAAAGGTTTTTATTAAATTTTCCCCTGCTTAAAATTGGAATCTAATTTTGTTAATTATTTAAAAAAAAAACCTTTTCCTTATTTTCGTATTTTATGAATTACGTTGGCGGATATTCTTAAAATAATAAAACGATGTTTATGTTAATCTGAGAAGAAATTCTTTTTTCACTTCAACAAGTTTCCAATCTAAGTAAAATGAAATATATGGGAGCCTCGTTGAAATTTTTTCATCAATCAAAGTAAGATGAACAGATTAATAATAACAGAATTGAAATTTTCTCATACTAATTTGAAATTATAAGAAAAGGTCGAAACCTAAACTTGTAATTTTATTAATAAATTTAGTATAGTTTAAAAGAGAAAACTCTTCCATGTCCCTTTTAATTACAAAAAGTTTTTGATATAAGAACCTTTAGAATTTCTTTCATAAGCAACACTTTAATAATCTGGATAATATTCATTGCGTGCAATCAATTACAACATAAAATTTTAACAAAATCAATGCAGACATAACACAGTTGCTTACAAATGGCTTCAGAGTTGTTTTTATATGGTTAAGTTGCTTCTATGGTTTTAAGACAGAAATTACAGAAACAAAAAAATTGATTTAGAAATTGCAAATTACAAAATTCATCAAATTTTACATATAAAATTTAAATAGAATTTTTTAATGCCAAATAAAATGGGAATATGTAAAGAGCTGATCTTGTCAATTTCATAAATTAATGATAATTGTCACACCTTTTCACAGGATCTCATTTGTTTTAAACGTGTTATAGTGCTATTTTACACATACCATTTCAAAGATGTCACCGAAAATAACAACCATATTACCATCTTCGACCAAGCAAAATTTTACCACTACAATTTTAACAGTTTCCATAAAATGACTTTCGACGTTACTACCCAAATCACTGTTCCCATCACCACAAATAAGTTTCCAAATGGGTTTCGAGCTTTTAGTATATAATAAAAAATTTTTCGAAATAAAGTAAATTCAATTTAATTAGCTTTTGAGTTACTGCTGCGGTGAATGGATGGACGAGCGGTCAGGCAACAGACACGGCTAAACTATTCTTTTTTACAGGTATAATTAAGATGATAATTGTTTCAAAGTTTCATGTACAAAATTCAATATTTTTCAAAAACACATTTTACGCTGAAATTTTCGGTAACAATATTTTCTTCATTATATTAAATGTCATATTAAAAATTGATTTTGGCAGTTTTCCATAAGCTACAGACTTAGTGAGGAACGCTTCAAAAATTTTAAAATTTTTTGTCCCAGAAACAGCCTTTTCAAAAATTCATACAAAAAGAAAAAATTTGGTAATAAAATTTATTTTTTTTTTCAGTGTAACTCAATTCTAATCGAATTCTACGTAATTTTTTTTCTTTTTATGTTGACATTTTAAATCAGAATGTTACTTTGACGTTGGGTTATTAGAGTCTGTTACAAAAATCTTTTATTATTAGTGAACGCGATAGCTAATTATGTTATTCAATGTCATATTTTCCATTTTGTACCATTTGATGTCTTTAAAGTTGGTGTTGTTTTTCGAGTATAAATCATAAAAATGTAAGGGCTTAAATTACCGTTAATACTTCTTACAATATTCTCAGTATATTTTTTTATGAAAATGTTAAAATTATTTGACATCATGGTTTGGAAAGATAAAACAATATAAATTTTTATGAAATTTCCATAAATTGATTGACAGCTTTAGGTTCGAAAATAAAAAAAGCAGAATAAAAGGAAAAATAAAATGAGGAGGAAGGGAAATGAAGCTGAACCGTTCATTTTTATTTTTTTTTTTTGTTGAATCTTTTATTTGAGAAGCAGGATTAGAAAATTTTATAAGTTTATTTTTTTTTTCCAAAAGTTGAACTGCTGCAAATTATCTGTCAAAATTTTTTATGCTCTAAATATAAATTTTTTTTTTGACGATTTATTTATTTTTAACATGCATAAATTTAAAATTTAATTCAAAGAATTATAAGTGCCATTGTAGTGTGCTTCGAAATTTGAGTGGAACAGAATTTTAAGGCAGAAAAAATTTTAAAAAATTTTGGAATTCTTTAGTAATTAATTTTTCATTGAATTAAATTAGAATTCTGTCATGAGTCAAAATTTAAGGCGAACTGAGACTACAATAAAGCTACGAGTTTTCGAAGTAACTGCTTCCTTATTAGATCAGGAATATTCGTTACTCAATACTCGCAAATAATCTTTCATGTTGTCACATTATGTACATATTATTTTTGCTATATAGTTAATGGGATAATCAAAATGTAGCAGATTGGTATTAGAAGTGATTCATGTGTTGCTGTTGTTGTATAGGTCCGGTTATTACATTGTGATGTTATTGATGTACACAAGTGTATATTTAAATTTTAGCTGGAAGAGCGTAAACAATAAAAAGAGCTTCAATGTTCTCTTATTAAACAATTTCTGATATCTTGGGAACCTATCAACTTAATTCAAAAAACGTACTCTTCGATTCTGTAATAGAAGTTAAAAAAACAATAAAAAGTTTAAAAAGTCCCAAAAAGTGGATAAATGTGTTTTGGACCCTATTTTTTTTGGGCAAAATACGATGGCTTTACTTTTAATTTTTTTTTTTTTTCGCGATTTGATGTTCTTGATCAAAATCCAGGATTATTTTAAAATAATTTTTGTCCGACTTCTAGTTCCCAAGATACAAAGCTTCATTATACAGAATCTTAACAAATTTTTAGGAGTACCTACTACAAAGTAACAGTAACGAGTATTCATGAATACCATAAAGTAATTGGATTGCACATCCCTAATTAAAATAAATGAAAAAATTTTGCTACAATAATGTTAACCTTGTTTGTAACCATAAATATTTTGCACTGTTGAGTTAGTTATCGAAAACCCATATTGCAGTTTAGAAAATAATTTGTTTTATATTATATGTTTATATATGTCGCACAGTGCAAGAAATGTAAAGTTTAATTTTCAACTCTAAACTTAGTTTAAATTTTACATTTTTTGCTTTAAGATGATCTTCTTTATTTAGATTAAATAATTAACAACAAAAATCTAAGTCCTAGAATTTTTAAAGCCTCAAAAGTTTAAAATCCAAAACTTGATTAAGTTTGGAAATGATTTACTTATTTACTTAATAAAAAATATTATTTTAAAATAAAACTCTTGATGGGTTTAAAATTTACCGGATCAAAAAATTCCTAGCTTAAACTATTCAAATTTACTTCAAAAACTTTAAGATTCAAAATTTATATTTAAACTACACAATTCAAATTTCAAATTTAAGAGTTTAAAATTTCAATTTCTCATTATTATTATTATAAATTATAACCGTACCTATATACAAATAAACAATAACAACTTATAGTTGTTTAGATGCTTTTTGGAAAATTTTCTTATGGAAATAAACAATGTAAATTCCTCCATACAACTGCAAAACATTAGAGATGACGTATCCGTTCCAAAAAAACGCATCACAGGTAGAAAAATGAAAAAAAAATATTCTTCTCGCACTGAACTCGAACCAGTGAATTACTGCTTTCTAAGCAGACGTTCTACCAACTGATCAACGAGGCTCGTATGAAAAAATTTCTCAGTTTAAATTTGACTGCTTCTCATATTTAACCTTTAAAATAATAAAAAATTAAAATATTTATTTAAAAATTGAACCCCAGCCATATTATGCACATATTTTGTAAGAAAAATTGTAAACTCCGTGAAAAATTATTTTCTTTTATTTGAATCTAAAAGTCTATATTTTTCTATATTATACAATCTAAAAGAGACAAAAGATCAGTTTTACGCCATCACCACATTTAAGTTGTAAAACTTAAAATTATTATAATTGAAAACAAGAGGAGAAAAGTTAAAAAACACGTTGGATCAAAGTGATTTTTGCATCTACAAAATTCTAGATTTCCGCATTCAGGAATGCAGAAGTGAAAGTAGATATGCAGAAACTGTGAGTAAAATTATTTATATTAATACGGTGCTTACCCAAATGTGAAGAACCAACGTTTTCATTTTTATTTTATAAAAGTATACCCCTTTGCACATACTCATAAAGATAGGTCTGATAATTTTCCTAATAAAACTTTTTTCCTCTTAATTTTACAAAAAAAAAAATCCTATTTTACTTAAAATCGATTTATACTCTCTATGGAACTACAAGAAACAAGCAAACATATGTTAATTCTTAACAAACATTTTCATCTCATCATACATTACATACCATATGTCTGTATGATATCACCAGATACATATATTATTCGAATTATATTTACATATACATACTAACTCAAAATAATAAAAAAAATAAATTTAAATGCGACATTTACAAACAATAATTCCAGATATTTATTTTCTTAACTGTCATTTAAATATCAAGGTCTTAAGAAAATTTTTCTAAGTTAAAAAAAAAAAAAATTTCAATTTTAAAGGAAAATTTTTTTTCACCATAAATTTTTCTTTAAAGTTTTTCTTTATTTAAAAAAAAATTTTGTTTTGTATGTAATATGCTTTGTATATATTCATATATATGTATGTACATTTATTATTATAGTACATGTACGTAAGTAAGTCGTAACACACTGAACAGTACGCTACACAAGAACTGAAATACTTTCAAACTTGATTCAATTATATGAAAATAAGGGAGATAAAGGTTCCCATTAAAAGTAAATCTTCCTAATGAATGGAAGTATAAGAATACCTGTCATTGATTCATGACTCGCCGAATATCTAAATTTTCACATATACAAAGATTTTAGTCTCAAAATTAGGCCTTCAATTTGGATAAAGAAGTTTTATCAGTAAATTTAGTAAGGTCTTTATGATTTTTAAAATTAAAGCTTAAATTCCATTTATAGTTTGCTTTGCAATTAATTCCTCCAAAATTTATTACGAATTCATCTCTCGAAGGCATTATTTTCCGAAATGAAAATGATTTTA